CTTTTGCCATGAATCTGAAGCCAACCTCCAGCCAAGCCCCGGGGTGCTTTTTGTTAGATACTGGGAGCAAGGCAGGGATCTTTGACTTAAAGACTTTGTATTTTTCTCTCCTTGATGATAAACTACCTGACCAAGCAACTTAAGCAAGGAGAGAGCCATGCTGGATCAGAGCCACAGAGAGTCCATCTGTGTCTTAGGCTCAGGGGATTCTGGGCCGGGGCTGAGGTTGATCATCTCCATGACTTAGAGCATGTGCTTCAGAGAAGGGCTTTGTCACCCCAAGGCTTCAGGAAGTGGAGGAAAAGGAGCGAACCATGAATCGAGTCTTAACCTTCAAAGCCACATCCCTGATGGTCCACTGCCTCTCAATCACCAGTACTGTTTGAAGCAGCGGCTTTCATCTATGAAGCAGCGGCTTTCATCTACGGTTCATGACCTCTTTTGGTGGTCGAATGACCCTTTTGCAGGGTCGCTGAAGACCATCAGAAAACACTGATACTTGCATTATGATTGATAACAGTAGCAAAATCAGTTATGAAGTAGTAACAAAAATGATGTTACGGTTGGGGTCAGCATACATGAGGAACTGTATTAAAGGATTGCAGCATCGGGAAGGTTGAGAATCACTGGCCAAAAAATTTCTCCAAAAGGCACAACCAGCTGGAGACCAATCATTTAACACATGAGCCTGTGGGGGGAGAGGAACACGTCATCTTCAAACTGTGAGGCTTTTTATGTACTCTCAGAAGTATGTTCAGGGGGGCTGGTGGGCATGCGCAGACACAAGGACTAATCAGTGGCAGCTCTTTCTCAAGGACTCGAAAGCTCAGAGGGCAGAGGTTGTTTTTCTAGAGCCCAAGTGTCTCTTGAGGATAGGAGCCCAATCTTCAGAATGTGCCTTGGCACCAGGCTGAACTAAGAATCTCATGGAAGATCTTAAGTCACAAATCTACGGACTTACCCTTTTCTAGGTGGGAAACACAGTTCAATTATTTTGCTGAAAAGGAAAAAAAAAAACGGACTTTGTCTTTTTGACGTTGTCTTTTTAAATGTTAAAAATCTTAGCTGGGTATCACATAGACAGAGTCGGTCTGCCCAAAGAGCGCCTTGAACTCTCTGCTTATGAAGAACAGTTATACTCAAAACATTTGATATGAAAAAAATATTATGACATGAAAATTCTTGAGGCAAGGAGAGGCTACACCAATTATGAGAAACTCATTCCAGATTTTAACGACCTTGTGAGAGGAGCCTTACCTGAAGTTCTTAGCTGCTCCTGGGGCGGATTAGTTCTTGTTCCCTGGTCCTCAGGGAGACGAATATAAATGGAGTACCATTGCCCTCTGATGCTGCTCCGGACGCCTGGAGGCATTTGCTAGGCTTCTGTTCAGGTTTCCATTTTTAGGAGCAAATAAGATCAAGGTCATGGGCTCTGTGCTGATCCTGCCTCCTCCATACTTGGCTGTCTGTGGAATTTCACTGACTTCTAGAGAGCTTCGGATGAAAAGTGATTGAGCAACATTCTCGTTCTTACTGAGGCAGGCTTTACTTTCTTTTCCAAGTTTCTTTAACCGAAACAATGCACACACACACAGACACAGACACACACACACTCATTTTAGGGACATCTCCATAGGTTGAGCACCACTGCTTTAGACAATACCGGCTATGTAGAGGAAGTGGACCATCAGGGATGTGGCTTTGAAGGTAAGACTAATTCATGGTTCACTCCTTTTCCTCCACTTCCTCAAGCCTTGAGGTGACAAAGCCCTTTTCTGTAGCACATGCTGTAGCCACAGAGATGATCAACCTCAACCCCGGCCCAGAATCCACTGAGCCTAAGACACAGATGGACTCTCTGTGGCTCGGATTCAGCATGGCTCTCTCCTCCTTTAAGTTGCTTGGTCAGGTAGTTTATCATCAAGGAGAGAAAAATACAAAGTCTTCAAGTTGAAGATCATCCCTGCCTTGCTCCCAGTATCTGAGAGAAAGCACTCTGGGGCTTCCTTTGGAGATGAGTTTGGCCTAGGCCTACTGGTTGGTAGAAAAGAAACTTTTCTTCAGAGATGCAGGCCTCATAATGGTGCAAAGGTCAAGGCAGAAGATCCAGACCTGTTCCAGATAGAACTTGTGAGTCCAGCCCACTACAGTCCACTCTGCTGATATACATCACCAGAATACATGTTGTTCTTCTTTTCCCCTTCAATTTTTAGGATTTCCACATCAATGCATTCTTCGGTCTTGTTCCTTATTATTATTTATTATTTTGATAATTCTTGCATGCAGACTGCATACGAGATTTTAAGATGGAAAGTTTAGCGTTGACTGGATGAGGTGGAAGGCAGCCTTTGGCCACTTTGAAAATGTCCTGGTGTGTAGTCAGAGCAGAGAAGCCCTGGGCCTGGGGCCAGAAGTGCACCCCACTTTGCTTAGGAAATAGCTGCTTTTGTTCACTTCACACATAGACCGCACCTCTGTCTCAGCCTCTCCGTCCCAGGAAATGACGTTTCTACTTACCCGCTTCTCAGATGAAAACTCGAGGCTCAATTTTTCCCCATTGTGCTTCCTTCCCCAGCCAACCCCTCAAGTACTGTGCTCTACCTTCTCTCGTCCTCACCCCTCTGCTGACTTTCCTGTAACTCCCTTGGCCTTTCCTAAGCCAGAGCATCTCTAGGCTTTATGTCATGACTTCCTACCAGGTAGCTGCTACCTGGTATCCGATTCTGTATCAGATCCAAAAGGTTCCTGATTTCTAAGAACGGTCTTAATTTTTAAAAGTAAATTTAAACACCTAAAGAACAGTTCATCCATCTTTGTGGGATCTTCACATCATACTGTATTTGCTTTGTAGACCTTTTACATAAGTGAGTTAAGTACATTTTTATTACACAGCACATAGTTAAATATGTCTTCATACAATACAATTTCATTTTCGATGTTCTAATATATGTTATGTAGTGGAAACATAATAATGTTTAAGATTTCCATGCCTTCAATTTAGGGAAGTAAAACAATTGAAGATTAAACCTGCTTAGAATTTATAATACTTGGGGAGCTGGGTAGATGAGTCAGTGGTTAAGAGCTCTGGCTGCTCTTCCAGAGGACACAGGTTCAACTCCCTGCACCCACATGGCAGCTAACAGCTGTCTGTAACTCCTTTTCCAGGGGATCCAATGCCCTCATATACCTGCAGGCACAATGTACATAAAAAGAATTTATAATACTAAAAAATTAGATTTGTTATTTATTTTACATGTGTTAGTGTTTGGGTTTTTTATTTTTTATTTTATTTTTTATTTTTTATTTTATTTTCGAGACAGGGTTTCTCTGTAGCTTTTTGGTTCCTGTCCTGGAACTAGCTTTTCTAGACCAGGCTGGCCTCGAACTCACAGAGAGCCGCCTGCCTCTGCCTCCCAAGTGCTAGGATTAAAAACGTGAGCCACCACCGCCCGGCATGTGTTAGTGTTTTGTCTGAGTTTGTGTGTGTGCGTGGGGAGGGGTTTGCTGGGAACTGAACCCAGGTCCTCTGCAAAAGCAACAAGTACTCTAAATGACTGAGCCCTCTCTCCAGCCCCAAACATTTGTAATAATGTGATAGACCTTCATGCAGGACTCTTCCCCCTAAAGAAAACTTCTCTATATTCACTCTTTATAGGGATCCTCTTGGGATCTAGAAGTCAGTGCCATGAGCAGGAGCTGCTCTCATTCAAAGCCTTTTTAGCATACGCAGTCAGCCATCATGGCGATAGCCGGACGTAGGGACGCACGCTCCAAACATTAAACACTGTCTAAGCCTCTGCAAAGTTTTACTTATGAATTAACAGTCTTTCCCTTTACCCTTCATTACCAGGACAAACAGAGGAGCCATTTGGTCATATATTGTAGTAATAAAATCAAATCCCCTTAAGAGAAAGGTAAACAAAAGGGAAACCCGTGTCCATTATGTCTAGCTGCACTGTGGCTCTCAGGAGAAGCTGGGAGACGATCCCATTAACTAAAAGTTCTCAGACACAGCTGCTGCCGGGTTTCGCCTCAAAGGTTAAATTTCTATATTAGGCGAAAAGGTCCGTCTCTCTTGTGGATCTGACCTGGGGTTTCCTCCTTCTCTCTGTTGAATCGCACACAGGACAGAAGCAAAGGGGGCTCAATCAGAGCCTCCACCGCAGGCCAGCAGCGCCGCAATGCCAGTGTCCTAGTGGTTGATACAGTTCCTGCTATCCATTTGACTCGAGCACCTATGTTCTTGGTGCTACACATCCTTCCCAAGGCATCACATCAGAAAACGATGATGATATCTCGCTCAGTCATGCTAAATTTAATTACTCGCCTAAGATGGAATCTGCCAGATCTCTTCATTACAGAGCATATATTAGCATTATCATTAAGTACGTTAGGGTGGCCTTTGAAGACCATGTGGATGCCTGTTTAATATCCTTCACCTAAGGGTCTTAGCAGTCGTTGATGACCCTTGCTCACGACAGTAGTTTTACTGGTAGTTGGCAAAGGATATTATATAACTTATTTATCCTACATCTTTCAGCTGGCATTCTGTTTCTCTCCTCCCTCATTCCTTTTTGGAACTGTTTTTGAAATATTAGAATGGGTGCATAGATTTTTTTCCATAATAATTCTAATTAAAAATAAATTAATTCTTTCTTAAATATTTCAATATTTTTTATGCATTTGCCACATCACTTTCTTGCATAATATTTTACATTCAGGTATCATTATGAAATAACATATTTTGTTGAGTAGAACACAATGGAGTTCCCTAGAACACTGGCCCGTTTTCCTTTTGTTAGTCTGGCTGCTCACCATGATGGTGATGATCTATCATCTATTTTCCTTTGGTGCTCTAAATACAAAATCAAATCCATTTATTGAGAAAAAAAGCTGGGGGCAGGAGGAGGGCCTTTCCCAGTGACACATGGACTCACATTTCCCCTTCGTCCCTCACCTCCTGGCCCTTGCAATGAACGCCTTCTCTGGCTTCTTTTTAGGACCGAAGATTCAATGACGAGATCGACAAGCTCACTGGGTACAAGACAAAATCGCTCCTGTGCATGCCAATCCGGAGCAGCGATGGAGAGATCATCGGTGTGGCCCAAGCAATAAATAAGATTCCTGAGGGTGCTCCATTTACGGACGATGACGAAAAAGTAAGACTTCACGCCTTGCATGACTTGGACTTTCCATTCTGCTCACAGATTGCCGCTCTCCCTGAAAGGACGGGAATTACATGAATAGTCTTCGATTAGCGTATTCACAGATCTGAGAGCTTTTCCTGAGCTGTACGAGATGTAATGGGAGGCTTTTTTAGCATTTCAGAGAATGTGGCATAATTGAAAATAATCGCTCCACTTTTTTAAAAAAAGCCTGCTTCTCATTACAAGTTCCAGTGGTATTCTCGCTATTGCTTGGTCTTTATTTGCCTTGTAAGTCAGCCTTTAAATTATCAACAGCACCATGACCATACGTGACCCAAGGGAGGGCAGAGAGTGTGGGAAGATCACTGCGCTTCAAAAACTCAGCATATTCTCTTACCGTTTCTATAACTGTGACGGAGAAGCTCTTTTCTTACTTCTTACATAAAAACCTCAATAAAACGAGGGTCATTTAATTGTTATTGTAAATCACTAGTAAAGGGAGCATCAGTTTTGGTTCTGAAGAACAAGTGGCTTTGGCAGAAGTCCATACTTTTTGCTCTAGAACTTTAAGTTCCTCTGCTAATGATTTACTGCAGGCCTTGCCGAGAAGGGCTCTTCAGGGAGCAGAGGCTCTGGCTTTGGGACGTTTACCTTCCTCCTGAATAGAAACTGGTGGCAGTGAAAGCAAACCTCACTTGTCATGTTGGATGACTGCTATACTGCTAGTTAATTGAAAACTTTATGATTTTACCTTCGGGATGAGGTTATCTTATTTGCCAGTGCCAGCTGTTAATAGTCCCAGAAGGCAACTGCAGTGGCACAGAAGGTCAGTGTGAAATGTGATCCTGGGAAAAGGGGAAGGGTTTCGATGAACTGAGTCCTTCGCCGAGGTCCTTTCTAAGTGGGATTGAAAGAACTCAGATCATTGTAAGAATACAGAAGCTCACAGAACCTCGGGTGACTTCCTATCAATCCTGCATGGGAAACACACGGGTTGGGATCACAGGAGGTGGGTGGGTAAATCCCACATGTTTTGTGCCACCCGAGGTGGGAGGCAGCAAGATGTTCTAGAGCGTTCTGGCTGTAGATGAGAGAGGCTCACCAAAGGGCTTTCTCGGAAGAGATGGTATCTCGTCTCTAAGTCAAGAATTGGTTTCAATGGACAGAACTAAGAGAAACAGATAAAGTGTTTAGAAGTCAGTTTTCAACAAATGGTGGTGGCTTCAAAGACCCATGGCTGTCCAACGCCAAGAAAACGTGATGGTGAGGGCTCAGCCCTAAACAAGTTGTACATCACCCCTTCTAAGGCTCAAGGAAGCTTGTGGAAGAGGGGCAGGAAGAAGGTAACAGAAGACAGGGGAGAGAGCTGTGCTTTAGGCAGGACCCGGCCACTGTAATAATGAACCCACAGCAGCTGTAGTTACTGCACAAGACTGGCCCTGTAAACACGGAGAGAGAAGTGCTCATAACGCATACCCCTTACTGCTGAACTATTGGCGAGATGGATTCTTAGAGAGGAAAAGCCGTTGCTTTCCGTTGTGTTATCCACTGGTAAGCCCAGCAGGCTCCAACAGAGAGCTCTAAATCCACAGGGATATAAACTCTCAATCCATGGCGACACAAATAACCCAAGCTAAACTCCGTGAGTCAGAAAGCAAAATAAATAGATAGAAACACGAGAAAGAGATTTGTAGGGGGAAAATAGATGGGTAGGATGGACATTAAAGAGAGTAAGGACTGAGAGTAATCAGTATGCACTTATAAAACTATGTGAAATTGCAAAGGAAAGTAATAATAATTTCTGGGTTGCCCACAGGGGAAAAAAAACAGGGAACAAGGAAAGGCTTGTGAGTAGGATTAGGAGGCTCTGGAGTCAGAATGCCTCCAAGACAGACTCAAGCATTTTCTCCTTAGCTGAAGGAGCTTAGACACCTTGTCAGGTCCTTCTGAGCCTCACAACCTTCCTCACAGGGTTGCTGTGAGGAGTGAAACAGATCGTAGACAGTAAGTGCTCGGGGTGACCCTCATCAGGAGACAGGCCACAGCTGCCTTGCCGTCATTCAGACACACAGTAGTAAATTTATTGTGCAATTAGCATAATGATATTTTTTGTCCCCTTACCTTAAAATTCCATTTTTTAAGATTTCAAGTTATATATGGCACAATTTTAAAACACTTCAATGTATGAAAAACAGCAAAACTTCAAGGTACACAAAAAATTAAATATATCCATTTAGAGATATTCATGTACTTAATGTCACAGCAAATAAGAATGTATTTTGTTTCTTGAGAGTTCCATGCCTGTGACTCAGTGGCTGTATGTGGTTCATGCGATAATTGTTGGGAGAACTTGGAAAGGTCATTGGTTCCTCCTCTGGCGTAGGGATCGTCGCCTGACAGATGGTCATCCAGCCCCATACTAAAGCTTTCTCTTCAGTGGCTTTAATGATCTCATGCTCTTTAAAACTCTTGGATAATTAGCAAGAATTTAATTTGCAGAGAGTTTTGTGTGAGTTCCAATCTCCCATAAGCATGTATTCATCATTTCAGCTACACACTGGCAAATTACTAGTTTGGCAATTCACGCTGAAGGTTCACATAAAGGCAGGCCATGTAGAAGGGCTGACTGGAATTTTCTGGTTCAGTGCATGGGTCCTAAGCAAATGTTCTTGCTTTCCAGGGCTATGCATGAGCTATCTGATTTGGGTGGTAAGATTAGAGTTTTCGTGTCCAATTCACTTATCACTTTGTTCTTCAGAGGGAGTAAAGGGAGACATTATTTTTGCAGACTAACATTATGAGTCGGATAGAAGCAAACCTTGGTGATCTATTAAGACATTTGTCACCAGCATGGCAGCTAGGAAATGGTCCTGCGTGTAGGCTCTTATCTATCCTTTCAGGCTGTGCACACTTCAGCAGCAAAGGTATCATCTCTTGTCACGTCAAATAAAACAGAATGTGTCTGGTACAGTCACTTTCCAATGGCAGATGTGTAACAGTCATAGCCTGAAGTTCTACTTTGGTTGTTGATAATGGGGTTTCTTAGCTTGTGGTTACCTCCTCTCAGCTCATAAATCAGAGCATCAGCTAGCCTGATACGTTCATCCTTTGGACCTGGGATGCTGCCAACACAGCTCAGCTGCTGGAGACTGGCCACGTTCCAGAACTTGTTACTGGTAGTGCTACCCTGCCAGCTGGCATTGAGGGGGGTGCCTGGAGGGCTCTAACGAGTCTCTGTAGAAGCTTGAGTTTGCTATGAGATATAAGCATGAGATTCACAGACAGATAATGGGGAGGAGTTCATAAAACCTTGACCTTACACTTCAAAACTCCATGAGGAGGATATTAAGCAACTATGCATTGTCTAAGGTACAAGAAATGTCAGGTTCATTGTGTTGAGGAGGGGAATGCTGAGTTCGTTATACCAAAAGAAGGACAGGTTGGTGGTCTCAGAAAGACAAACACAATTCATGCAGGCTACTAACACAAAAGTTGGCTAGCATATGGTTGGTTTCTTTTCATTTTGATATCTTTAGACATGGTTGCAAGTTGCAATTCTACCATTACAGCCAACTTCCGAACAACTAGCCACTTTCATAAGGCAACTTACTGAGAACAAAGATAGATAGATGGATTTCTTCTTCATCTTCTGAGTAGTTTCTGCAAAAGATGCGATGTAAAAGGCCTTTTCTGATAGTTTAATAAACCATTGATCTACAGCAGTGGTTCTCAGCTTTCCTAATGCTGTGACCTTTAACACAGTTCCTCATATTGTGGTGACCCCCAACTAAAAAATGATTTTTGTTGCTTCTTCATAACTGTAACTTTGCTACTGCTATGAATTGTAACATATATCCGTATTTTCCAATGATCTTAGATGACCCCCATGGAAGGGTCATTAGACCCCCCCCCCAAAGGGGTTGTGACCCACAGGTTGAGAACTGTTGATCTACAGGGACACACTGTAACACTTCCACCAGGAGTGTTTACTGTTTTCTGCTAATATTTCATTGCTTTTAAGATGCTGAAATATTAAAGGAGCGGTGCATCAACTGATTGCAAGAAATGCCCTCTGCATACTCATCCTTTATTTTCACGTTTTTGCTGCATGCCAGCTAAGCTTTCTGAACATGTTGCTATAAAATTATGATTAAATATTAGTGTTCAGCAAAAGAGCCCAAACGTCCTGGCAGATGGCTTGTGGTTTCAAGTTGTATTTGATCAATAAGATCTTAGTCCAGGGAAAAATTTGGATCAAATCCCATAACTTGTTAGTATTTTATCTCCATTTAAACCATGATTTAGTCAAGCATTTTAATGGTGATTGCCCAGGGTCCAGATAGTCACGGTCAGAGCATCAGTGGCCGATTCATCGCGGCCTATGCCTTCACTGGACGGCATCTGACCAAGAGTTTCAAAATAACCAAGGTTTGCAAGAAAGTTGTTTACAAACACATTCCTGTCAGAATTCAGGATGAACTTTGGTTCTCTTTGCCTGCTGGAGAGATACTGTGTGGCCTCCTGCCTCTGCCTTAGGCAGAGTCCACCTCTGGGTAAGAAAGCAAGCGTGTGCCTGCCAGACTGACACCCAACGAAGACCGCAATACTCTGCCATTTTGTTATGGTGCCTTGGGTCCCCAAGGCCACACCTTGGCATATCCTCCCCGTGGACTACAGGGTACCCTGTTTCTCCACTTGTCTTCACAGCTTAAGTGAAATCCATCATTGGACCTCAGTAGGGTCTAGACAGAAACATTCTGGTTTGTCGTTTGTCATGGTCCTTAATACCTTACATTTTAGCCCCCCACCCCAGGTGTCCCCAAATGATTGTGATTGAATTTTGACTGACAATTTGTTAAGAAATAGAAATGATCAAATAGTCAAAAAAATTTAAAAATCAATATTACGATTCGACAAAATGGATGTGTCTGCATGGTGTGGGCTTAGGATCTAGGTTGACTGACAGCCTCAGGGAGAATATATTGCCTTCCTCCGATGGCTAATGTGGCCAT